CCCTCTCCTACGCTCATCTAGCTGGGTTTTTTGACTGGTAAACTGGTCCTCCCCGTGTTTATTGACTAGAGTGATCGCTCCAAAAGTGAGAATGGATAGTCAAATGAAGCCAGATGCCCAAGCAGCTGGCCTTGAAATTGAGCTTTTTCTGACCACTACCCATTGATCTTTCAGGCATCCTTGGGTCTGCAACTGTGAGGAACTATCGTGTGTTGCTTGCGGGTCCTGAAAGTACCCCAACCATCAAAACCCATTAAGGTGCAGTCTCGTCGTGATGGAGTGCCTGCATGCTCTAGCAAAATAGACAAAGAAGTGACCTGGAAGATCAGGTAATACCATGTGGTTGGTCATTCTAAAACACGTTGACTCATAATCAGACACCTGTTGCCTGGCAGCTCATATTACTAAATTTTCAAGCGGACTAAAGGTATGTAGACTACTGCTGGATGACTAGAGCAATCAGTAGGTTTTTGAAATAAAGTGAACAGGTCTAGTCTGATTAGACTGATATTGTGCTTATCCCAAGAATACACTGAGTAAGCCCATTCGGCGGCTGTACTGTTTGGGTAAAACTATTACAACAGTGAAGGAAATCCCGAAAGAGATGGAAACTGATCCCGCATGTGTCCATATTTATGCATATTTATGTAGCTGGCGTCGATTAAAACAGAAAGTGATCCAGTTTGTAAACGGTCAAAGTGACTGCTTGGATGCGTTGGACTGAGAGTAGACATGTTTTGGCGAAGTAAAACAACCAAAAGCTTTGAGAAAATATAATTCACATCGATTTAAGGCGGTCATGATCCTGAGACCGTATCTCCACCGGAGAAAATTTGAATTGACCGTTACAGTGAATCAGCCGAAAGTAAACTTCTTCTGTGATTACACGTTCAATCCACGTTTCAAATACCCAAAAGGCTACACCGTCTTTGGCGAGTAGGGCCACTTCCTCACTGTCTGCAAGTTTCGCAATGAAGTCATACACACGAGCAAACTTAATAGTACCTGTATATTATGCATGATGATCTCAACAGTCTCCGAAAATTTATAAGGCAGTGTCCATCGACGATAAGAAATTTAAGGCCCCGGTCGATACGGAGAGCTACATTTAATGGAATGCAGTCCAACGACTAGGCTGGAAAATTGAGTAGCATCAAAATCTTACAGTGAAATACGGTGAATTCGATCTCTCTGATCTCTTTTTGATAAATATATAAATATAAATAATATGATTTGGTTTGCACACAGTCTAGATTTAGACGTGTGTGAAATACGAAAACTGATCTCCACCCAGCTCACAATACTCACCAAGTAAGAGAGAGTGTACAAGATGTACCGAGATTGAACTGAAATGAAGGAAGACAAAGATAGTGAACCTGTGATCAACTTACCGAGCACACAAGCAAACTGTGCATACACATTTGAAAACACCAACCAGATAGATGACAACAAGAACACCACTGCTATCCGTTCGCTGCCATATTCTTCAGTGTCTCTAACCAACCAGTTGCAGTCTTTTGGATCCCAACCTGGAAGACGGAAGACATCCACTCTACCCCCTCGATCTGTGCATGTCTTCATACACCATCTCCTCTGCAGACCTCCACGTGGTTTTCCTTAGCCCGAAGCACAACCAACAAGGGGCGTGCGATAGACAAGTGTGGTGCGTGTGCAATACGTGACCTAACCAGAGAAGTCTACTCATTTGAATTCGATTTGATAAAGAATTCTCCATCGAATTATTACCAAATACTCACCGGCTTACCTCAGCGTTGATAACCCGTTCGCTCCATTTCACCTACACCAAACTGTCAACAAATGTCTTCCACGCGAAAATTCTGTCCTCAACCGCAAAGCTGAACTGACCACACGGCGACACAGAACACACACACATATGTAATTGAGGTGCCGAACAGAGTGAAATGTAAATCAAACAGCCGCAGTGAACGAAGATAAAAACAATAACAATATTCTATTTTGTTTGTCTCACCAGTGTTCGCGATCTTTTAGTTTCAAGGAAACATCTCGTTGGTGCCAAATATGTTTCAGCGTTGCTTACACTGCCCGAGCTTTGGAAGTTTGAGCGATTACTTTCCTTACCATGCTAACGTCACTTGTCAGGCAATTACCTAGGTAGGAAAAGCAATCCACAAACACTAATTCTTGAACAAGCATCAAAGCCTACGAAAGCCTCACTATGGCAGGAGCCTCCAAAAACCTCACTATTGTCGGGGGTGAGCGTCTCGGGTTGTAGTTGGTCACCCTTCCATTGAACCTCTCAAAAAGCTCCTATATCAGCAAGTGTCGCAAATAACCTATAATAACGAAGTCCTACTAACCATCTACCCATGGTGGTGTTTTCCCACCGAAGTAAGTGGACGAAAAGCCAACATTCGGGGAAATAAACTGGTCGATGGAGCACGGGCAGTTCGCCTGGGGGTATGTGCAAAAAGCCCTGATTCCGGGCCAACTAAGAAGAGACGAACGAGAGATGCATCTGAGTAGGAGAAACAGCTAATTATTGACCATCGAGCATCAGAGTTGGGGAAGACAAAACCAACCCCTTAGCATTACTTTGCACCTTAAAGGTGCAAAGT